ATCAAGATTTGTGAATTTCTTAGGCTACCTTTCTTACCTGTTGCCTCTCCAGCATTACCCATGGGGCACTTGACAAACTCCCTTCTGTCCATATCTACATCCATTTGTACTACAGAAACCTGTACCCCACTACAGGTGTTATGCCCCGAAAAAGAAACAAGATTGCACTATATAGTCTAGAGTTTTTAACGAATCTGTTAGTTTATGTCCAACTTCAACATGCCCCATGCTAGGCTCATATTTTTTCGTGGCTCGAACTCTTCAACCACCATGTCTATTTGGACTAAAAGACAACACAGCCATCTCATGTGGCTTTCTCTGCATTTCTGCCTGCACCACGAATCCCTACCTTTCGGGATATAGTAAACTTTCAGCTTATTTGGATAATAAGCACAAATGAATTCATGTTTTTGCAACTATTGTGAATCAATTCTGTGTTGTGCATACATTGACATGTAGGCCTACTGGTGTTTGTAGGTTACTGGAAATCCACAGAACCTATAACGAGCTTATTCAGCATCCAGCTATTGAATAGTTTTCAAAAACAAAAAAGTGTCTCACTGGGAAACCGCAAGTACGACTGTTGATGTGCTGTCAGGAGTCCGTTAATTATCGAAAATTAAAGTAATTTCCGTATGTATGTACATGAAATTGTGAACGAATCAGTAATTGGTCGTTAATTAACAAGCATCCTATCTTAAAACCCTTAAAAAAATCGTTTCTTAAGTGGTGGATAAGCTGCCTGTAGTTACAAAATGATCTTTTACAAGAAAAAATTCTGTTTTACTTAAAAATGTAATTATAACGTTAATTGATCGTTAATTAGTAGGCATCTTAATTGGCAACCCCAGACAATTTGGTGTCTTAATTCGCATCCATGCTCATTTGAAAAGTTTTATCCATAGCATCAATCAAAACATGTGTACTTCGTCTTTTATACAAAATCAGTTTGAAGGCCCTCATATCCCTCAAGATCCAAGTACCATCCTCTTATTCACAAACCCTAGTAAAAATCACGTCTTAAATTGTGGATGTGTGGTGTCTGGACTCAAATAGATAATATCTGAAAAAAATGAACTTCAACATGTAAGTAAAACGTTAATTGGCTGTTAATTAGCAGACGTCTTCATTAGTAACCGACCTTTTCATGTCTTACATTGCATCACTTTAGTTCAGGGGCTGATCTACATGACACTGAAACAGATGTGCTCGATACTTGTTTTTAAATAGATTTTTGAGTCAACTTTTGGGCCCCATAGGAACCAAAGCCTTCAAACATTATGATTTAAGCCCACCTAGCTCTCCAACCATACCTTAAGATGAAGATTCCAACGTGAACAAACACCTATTTAAGGCCTTTATATATCCTTTCCGAAACCCTTAATTCTTTGATACACTTTGATACATGTTTGCCCTTTACATACACATTACTGAAACCTCCTGAAACACCCTTTCCTTTTGTATCAGAGAGTATACCTCTTCCTTGATATAGTTTCATACACTTTAACCAGCCACTCAGAGATGCATTTCGTGCACTCATAAAGTAATTTATATTTTCATTAGTTATGAATCGTATCGTAAGTTTCTGGATACAAAATTCTATTTCAAAGGCGCATAAAATGTTTCAGTGTCGTTTTAGCCGTACATTAAATACATATTCACTCGTTGATAAAATTTGGTCAATCTTTACGGTTGCTGGAACGACATGGTAAAAATTTCCAACGTGTCCGTCATATGATGTGGCATTGACTTCGGTGGGATGAACTTCTTCAAAATCATTCTCTACCTCTATGATGTAATCTTACAGGTTCAAAAATATCACAGAACAGACTGTGTATCTTGATTTGTTGATAAATCCAATTAATAAGACAACTAAATGCTTTTCATAATTGGAATTATCAAGTCTGATTCGAACACGGAACTCACTCGCGGAGGATTCGGCAAGATGCTAACCCTCATGCAACTTCCACTTTCCATATGGAAAACAATATATGTAATAGGATCAAAAAATGTTTTGACTGAATCTGAGAAATACATTTGAAAGTTTCCACATCCTTGCGAAGTGAAGTGTGTGTAAACCATACTATTCACAGAGTAGTCAGGTACCTGTTTCCATTATACTTGAAACTTTAACAATCATACCTACATATGAAGTACTTTAGTGGTTTTCTATCGACTTTTTATGTAAAGAAAAAAAAAAGCATTAGGAGTTTCGCGACGTTACAAATAAAAGAAAATGTCATAGAGACACGCTCACACAAAATGCAGAATAAAGTAGATTGCAATATGAACAATGGCAAGAAGAAGCAGCCATTCACCTCCTTCTCTCTTTGCAGGACAACAAAGACGCCTACATCTTGCATATGTATAACAAGCTCAGCAAGAAACGCGCCGTTGAAATAGGTTCCCAAACCATCTACGACAGTGTTGCCAGCGTCGTGTGTCCCCTCACGTACGAGGCCGCCAAGCGGAGGGCCTACTTCTTCTAGGTCGAGTGGAT